GCAGGGCACTGGTCCTCCAAAAAAAAGGCTTGGTGACCCCAGTCCTACAGGATGTAATTTCTCTTGATTGCATCCTACAGGATGTAATACAGTAGATGTTAGAATGTTAGCTGAGCTATGAGCTAAAGTATTCAAAACTTATCATGGCAGTATGAAGCAGAGTAAGGCTGAAAGTTATCAAAGCAAAACAAGACCACTGATAAAAATTCTGAAAGCAGCGCAACACGGCGTTCGGTTCTACCAATCATGATCTTGTGAGGAAGAAGCAGCCTTGTTTTATTATTCTAAATATGTTTTATATTTCTTGTATAATACTGCTCTGTGCAGTTTAATAAAATACACAGGGGGGAAAAATGGAGGGTGTGTGACCTCATTACATTGCGACTGTTATTGTCACCAGCTATAGTCATGATCTAGATCAAGATGCCCACACTCTCACACATTTAGACTACACTGCCCATAATGCTTTGCATTAACACAGCTGATACACTACAATCTATTGTGTGGCACACCCACTCACTCAAACCCACACACCAGTGTTTGTGAGTCTTGTTTCATGTAATAGACATTTCTGAGTGTTTCACCGTGTTCTCCTGGTTTCTGTCTTTTGCAACTTTGGACTGTGTTTGGATTATCGATTGTTTGCTGCCCTGACCTCTCCCCTTTATTTTGAATTTTTGTTTGTGGATTAACCCTGTCATTGCTTCTGATTTCAATAGTATCTGGATGCAGATATCGTCTACACGTAGCCTCAGACATGCGATGTCAGACACTCCATGGAGCTAGTGACTAGTAACGTCACTGTGAAGGGTAGGGTTAGGGTTGGAGTAAGGTGTGTGCATTAAAAGCATTGAATGCAGCTCAGCTTGCAGCTCCACCCAGTTTTCTTTCAGACTCCTCGCCCTGATTTTGACCTTGACTGTTTTAACCATTCATCAATAAACACTCATCTGGATCCTCTTCAGTTACAGAAACTAGTTAAAACTGCTTGTTTCTCGAAATTCTTTAAAACATTTTGGATAATGCAAGCACATACTGTAAGTCAGCAAAATATACTCTAGTGCAAAAACACTGCTCTAGTGGCTTTTTGGATATTTTATATTTTGGACATTTTAATGAAAAAAAAGTACATATTGTGCCTTTAAAGTAAATGCTCTGTCACAGCACTTATAATTCACAAATTAATCAAACTGGCATATGCATTACATCCCTTCCTGTATACCAACATTTTTTTCCCTTTTACTTTTGACAGGGTAGTGGAATGTACTGTATATTGCAAATGTACATTAAATCTCTGCCATGCTTTCATAGTTATTGGAACTTGCTCGTCCTTGAATCTTTTCCACAGTCCCTCTCTAAAATTCTCTCCTTATAAAAAATGCGCTTTCTCTGTTTGACCTTCAGAAACTCTCCAGAGTCAGTTTGGCAGTGTATGACAATGTTTGTAGACCTTTTTATGAAACCCAGTAGGCCCAAAGCTCAGACTAAATCCAAATCGCATCATATCCACCTCCACAATAGTCTGCCAAGCTGGTTTTGGAGATCCACGGAGACTCCGCTCGTCTTTATCTGTGGAAAACGACTAATCAATTCCAATGGCGGTGAGTCTCGCTGCTGCAGATGAAGTTTCTTCAGTTTTTGGCAGAGCTAATGCTTGTATGATGAGTGTGAATCCGGGTATATATTTTTCATTTAAGATCCTTCTCGTAAAAGACTTAATTTCTTTGATGTGAGCACAGTAAAACCTTAAATCCCTAATTGAGCATTAGGGATCGGATGAGTCAGTCAGAACTCATACTATGAATAATGTATGACTGACAAGCACCATCAAGTTAATGTTTTGATAAATGTGAGACTCTATCTCTGTCTCTCTATATATAAAACTGAGAAAAAGGACAGTGTGTTCAGGCACCCCTTACACTGAAAATGTCATTTCAGAGTATGTTGGCTACATTTTCATTCCCAGAAATTTCAAGCTGTTCTGAAATATTTACTGAGAACTGTGTAAATCTGTGAAGAGAGTGTACTTTTCTGTTATTGTTTTGTAACAGAATACTAATAATTTACTAGCAAGTGCTTTTAGGCCAGGTATGTGGTTGTGTGATGGAGACTAAACAGCTTAGATTAAATCCAGAATTTACCTGTTATTTGTATTTTAAATATATATTTGAATTTAATTTATATTTCTAGTTACGCAATTAAATGATGATTTTTTTACGATTTTCATTTCTTAATTTTACCTTTATTATTATTATTATTATTATTATTACTATTATTATTATTATTATTATTATTATTATTATTATTATTATTACACGTCATAACCTTGGAATTATAAGGTTCTATCTGCGTTCTAAATGATTTAAGGAAATTGAGCTTCAAAGATTTTGCATTCCATATAGCAAACAATATGAGTGTAACAATTCTCTTTCATACATAAACATGACAGCGACCCAAAATGTTCTTAAATTTGCAAAATGGGGTAAAAAAAAATGTCAAATGCAGATAGAACCTTCGAATTCTAAAAAGTAATTTTCCACTTGGAATTATAAGGTTCTATCTGGCAGATCATTAATTGAAGCATTACTTTTCAAGAAATATAATGCTTATTAATTTAATTTAAAGATTAAAATTGGTGTTGTAACATGTTGATGTTTGAGAAAGTTAATATTTTGCTTTCTATAGCATTCATGTTTTAGGATGAATATATTTTTCTTTTTCAAATTAAGCATACAAGGCTATGGTAAATATTTTGCCAGCTCAGATGTTAATTTTATGAATAATATGGTAATCTTTATTGAATTATATAGTTTATATGAATTAATGAATTATACAGTATTTACTGAATTGTTTATACATGAATTAAATTAAGTATTTGCCCTTCAAGGCTTAACATTAGATTTAAAGACTTTAAAAGGAAACAGACAATGTGCAAATGAGTTGTTTAACAGAGCTTAATAAACACTGAATAATGTTTCACTGACATGTACTGTATATACTGTATAAACGAATAAAAATATTTCACATTTAATAAATATATTTTTTTTAATTAATAAATTTCTTTTTTTAACCCTTTAAAATATAACATTTTATCTTAATGTAAAAAAAAAATGCCAATACTTCTAAATGTTGTGTTTTTTTCTGGTCTTTGCCACTGTCAATGGAGCAGTCTGGCAAAATGACAAAGAAAATCTTGATTGGTCCTCATGTGTGCATTGGAAATGCTGATTGACTCACAGAAAGAATCTTATAGAGCCAAGCTAGAGTTAGACTTTGCAGATAAAACCTTTTTTGTAGAGATAGTACATGGAACGACAAGTCTTCATTTGTTGCTGTTTATTGTAGTGTTAATTTAAACGCAGAACTGATATTGAATAAACAAAATTAAACAATTTTGGCCACCAAACAGACTGAAGGTAACGTCTAAAGACTATGTACTCCCAGCAGGCCCTTCTCCAGTTGGCCACACCCAGCCTGTTAAACTTCCTCTGGCCTGAGGGGGCTGCAAATCACCAAAATGAAAGAAGTCATGATTCACAACATAAACGCCCTTTCCATTGCTCACTACATTCGGACACGACTGTCGGAATACATCCCTTTGTGGCAGTCGCACAGAAGTTTCAGTTTTGTTGTGCACCATGGGAGAGAAGCTGGATTCTTGCGGTGTCCGAAATAAAGGACTGCAAAAGCAAGAGCCATTATTCTCTATCCGCTCACCATGGTTAAATGAATGAATGAATGAATGAATGAATGAATAAATGAATGATTGAATGAATGAATGAATGAATGAATGATTGAATGAATGAATGATTGAATGAATGAATGAATGAATGAATGAATGAATGAATGAATGAATGAATGATTGAATGAATGAATGAATGAATGAATGAATGAATGAATGAATGAATGAATGAATGAATGAATGAATGAATGAATGAATACTAGAAACTCATAGACCACTAAAAATGTTGGAGGTAATGTGGAGACAACCTTAAAGCTGTTTCATTTTTTATTACTCGTTTGTGAATAGAATTGTTTTTTGTTCCAAAAAAACAAATAACTACAAATTTTCATATTGCGTGCATTGACCTGCCTGGACATCACTGCAATACATCCAGTCCAGTCGACAGGTTGCATGCGGTCAAGTTGCAGGAGTTCAAATATTTAAATGGGTCCATAGCACATTTTCAGATCACTCCTCCACCTCAGCTCCACCAGTGTACAGAACTGCTACTGTGGTTGCATACATGTTATTTTTTTCAGGAGCATTGTGCTGTTTTCTCAGACAGCATGTATGTGAATATACTGGCAGTAGCAAGACTTGATACTTGCTGTGAGCCAATAATCAAATCAGCAGCAGCAGCAGCAGCATAGCAGACCTATGCCATCAAGATCAAACGCATCAACATTTCTTTATCCATATTTATTACCATACTAAATATCACCAAGAGTTGTCACGATGACTTCATTATCTGCAAAAATTCACTCAAGCACCCCCAAAACAAACAAATGCATATTTACTTTCCCCACATTACCCTTGATTGGATATGACGTGGCACTAATTCCCATCTGACTTTTTTTTCCCCCGAATTATGCCACAGCTCATAAGGGGAGGTTAAAGCCAAGTGACATTAAGCTTCAGCCCATATACAGCCGCATTGCCTCCTGCTGAAAATAAAATCAAATTATGAGCATTAGCTAAGCTGCTGTAGGAGCTTATGCATCTGCTTCAGGTAAACACTTGTGTCAGCTCCAGGAACGGATCTGCCACCCTCAGAATCATGAACGTCAAGCTGTGTTCGCGCTAGACTATTTATGATACCCTGCCGACTCTAAAACCGTTGCCCCCTTTTACTTCAATGTCCGTAGGCATTACCGTCCGACTTGTTGTTGTTGTGTGTGTGTCTTAATCCTCTTCGAATGTTTTTGTTGCTTATGGCTAGTTGATTTAGTCTATTTATAAGTTGATATAATGATTTCTGTGTCATTTGTCTCTCCAGGAAGAACCGTTTGTGATGGTGTCTGAAAATGTGCTTGGAAAACCTAAGAAGTACCAGGGTTTCTCAATCGATGTGCTGGACGCTCTGGCCAACTATCTTGGCTTCAAATATGAGATCTACGTGGCCCCTGATCACAAATATGGCAGCCAGCAAGCAGATGGGACCTGGAATGGTCTTATTGGAGAGCTGGTTTTTAAGGTAAGACATCGTTTGTTTTATTTATTTATTTGAGGAGGAGGTTTTGATTTTAAAATAAACGTGGGCAAGACCACGAGAATTTGGATTGTAATGACAAGAATAAATAGTTACATAATTGTTCTATCTATCAACATTTCTGTCTACTCTGTCTATTCTTTTGTCTCTGTCTTTATGGCAGTCTGTCTGTGACATACTAAAGACTAACTCTACCTATATCTTTATCTGTTTGTCATACCATATGACTCTTTATCTTTAGCCAGGTTTAGTGCCTGAATTCTTTACAGATGATGCTGATGGAAATGCTTATATTGTATTAAATGAACCTAATTTCAACAACAACAAAAAAAATTGTATAAATTTAGCGCATAAATTCTTTATCACTATTTTTATTGCGGTAATAACAGAATCACGGTAGACCTACAGTGAGCTTTGTCACACAAGGATTGTTTCTTCAAGCTCAATCAGACAATCAAACGCAAGCCTAAATGTGGTCATGTTTCGGTATTTTGAAAGATTTGTGTATTTGAAATCACAATAAGATGGCAAGTTTCAGTCTTTTTTAGTGAAGAGGGTGGGGGAGGGAGAGACGGGAGTAATTTACAATCATATACAGTGATATAAAATTTTATTAAACAATGCACTGTTACAATGTGTTGCAATTCACTAAGTGAAGTTTTTTTGTTTTATAACATAATTTAGAGAAGAGCACGCACTTATGATTGATAGCAGCTGGTCCTTCGTTAGCTAAAACACAATTCACCAATCAAACGATTCCTGAATCACTATAAATATCCAGAGTATTTTACCTTAGCCATCTTCTTTTTGAAGAATTCTCCTTTCCACCCCTACTCCACCCTTTTCCTTGTCAGGGCAGCACGGAGGCCCAGTGGTTAGCATCATTGCCTCACAGCAAGAATGTCACTGCCTCAGATCTTACCTGGCCAAGTCGGCATTTCTTTGTGGAGTTTGCATGTTCTTGCCGTGTTTGCATGGGTTTTCCCCGGGCTCTCCGGTTTCTTCCCACAGACCAAAAACATGTAACTTGTAACATTAGTAAATTGACAAAACTAAATTGCCATCATAGACAAACATTAAATTCAGCATACACTCTCCATCGCTATTCATAATCTACATTTATCATAATCAAGTTCTCGAAACTTACCTGAGCTCAAATTCCTCTTTCTCCCTGCAATGGGAGGGAGCCCCGGGCTCGAGGATCTCACAAGCTCAGGGCTCTCTCCCGGGACAGCATGCCAAACACGTTTTATAATCAATCATAAGCTAAGGGCGAACTCTTAAAACGTATAATAATTCTGTTTCGTCAGTTTTGATGTAATCACACAGTTAATCAGTAAAAGATTAGTTGAATCAAAAATATTTTTTCTCTTTTACTTTTTTTTTACATTGAAAAATGAATTATGGACTGTGTTGATAACAAAACCACAGGATGTTGGGAAACTTAAGTGAGAAAAAAAATGGATGGAAACTTAGCTTATATATTTCTTTGTCAACTTCTTTGAAATACAAGAATCTGTTTGTAAATCTATCTATATGTTTGTCCACTGAATAGCTATGGAAAATATTGGGGACAATTATTTTGACCATGCTCCATTTCTATTGATGTACTTGGTTCATTAGATATGTGAAATGAAAATTATTGTTTTATTCTATAGTCTGAAAACATAACATTTCTTCCAAATTGGTCAAAATAACTAATGTGTCAAATAACTAATAAATATAATTTTTTTGAAAACCAGGGTTGTTCCACCAAATACTAAACTCTTTTGAAGTTTAAGCACTGATATTGTGATGTAAACATGTCTGAAAACATGACACTGTTTGTTCTTGTTTTGATCAGTTGTTATTTTATGCTCTAACAACATTTTTAAATTCTGAAAATGTCAGTTGTTTGCAAAAAAGAAAATAAGCCACAGATATGTTTTACTCAAACACAGCTAAAAAATGTGTTTAATTTAGTTTATTTATTGTAATTAAATTTTTAAGTTATTATATAACTACAAGCTCAGAAATCCTAAGTGGTATCTTTATATTTTTCCATACCTGTAAATCTACAGAGAATGGTAATTACATATAACATGGCAATTTGATCTTGAACATACAATGGAAACAAACACAAATCGACACACACACAAAAAAAAGCCAATCATGTTGTATAAATGTTTTAGAAACTGCTTTAATTCTCTTAGAATAAAACAGTCTAATATTTAAATCCCAAGACACACAGAAAAACACACTCAGTTACTTGTCTGAGACACTGCAAATACTCATTACATAGTATTAAGTCTTGTACACTAAAAGTGATTGCTCTCCAACAGTGGCTCATTTATATCATCATTATACATAGATATATCTCCTCCTACCTAAAACTGCTCAATGTTAACGCATTAGGCCACTATAGACATAACAGTAAAACTGCTTCCTAACAATTTGTATTCAGGACAATGCTATAAAGTAAATAACTTGAAATCAATTGAACTCGAAAGAACCAAGTGCAAGATTGCTTACTGTTAGCGATGGTGAAAAGGGAAGAAGAGTGTGAAAAAATCAAGGAAATGAATGGACTCAGCTGTACAAACACAAGTGCTCTGGTAACTGCGTAAACAGCATTCAGCATTCCTGATGTATATTCTGAGCTTATTTGGGGTGTTAGCACTTGCAATTCAATGCAAATCAGTGTGTGTCTGTAATATATAATAAACACGTCATTGTGCAGATCAGCTATCTTTATAGTTTTAAGCTGTTCAGTTTACCGGGTTGTACTTTAACTTAAGCCTTATTGTGTTGCTTTCATGTTAGAATAAGCATTTTCTACACTGAGTACGAATTGTCGAATCATACAGAAAGTGTTCACTATTACAATGTGTTTTTATTAATTAATATAAATATGAAAACTCATTTTAACCAGTCTGTAACTGAGCATTACAATGTATTGCTTTCCTATTCTCTACAGTATAAATGTCTGTCTCTCTATTTATAATCAGCTATATTTGTCTATCTCTCTGCGGCTTTTTTTCTGTCCTTATATTTGTGCTTGTGTATTTGTGTATGTATCTCTATCTGACTTTATATCAATATTTCAATATAGCCCACATGACTCTATCTATACTTTCAACGTTTCTTGGTTTATGTTGTATGGTTTACCTGTTGTATTTCTCTGTATGTCTTTTGTGTTTTATCTTTTCACCAGTTTCTCTCTGTTTATATCTACAGTACTGTATGTGTGTTTCTGTCTACATTGTCTTTCTATGCAGTATCTATCTGTGTTTTAATTTATGTCTGCTCGCTTTGTGTCTCTATCTACACAGTGTCTGTCTGTAAATGTATATGTCTGTCTGCTTTAGCTTTTTTTACACACTTTTAATAGCCAGCAGCTGGCTCTCTGCAACTCTCACATGGTCGCCCACTGTAGCTAAACAGTCAGTACCTGGATAGGAGACTGTACAGGAAATCTAGGTTGCTGCCAGAAGTGGTGTTAGTGAGACCAGCAAAGGGCCGCTCAGCCTTTGGTCTGTGCTGGTCCTAATGCCCCAGTATATTGATGGGGACTCTATACTGCTCAGTGAGCACCGTCTTGACATTATGGATGACTCTCTCTGGTTGTTACAAATCACATGATGTCCTTTAAAAAAAAGAGTAGGAGTTTAACCCCAGCATCCTGGGTAAATTTGCCCACATGGCCTGCTAACCATACCCATATCATAATTGGCTTCATCACTCTGTTTCCTCTCCACCAATCAGTTGGTGTATGGTGTGTGGTCTGGAGTAATATAGCTGCCATTGTATCACTGGTGGTGGATTAGGAGATTCCCCCCATAATGTGTAAAGCGCTTTGAGTGTTCAGAAAAGCGCCATATAAATCTCTGTCCCTGTGTTTGTCTGTTTATGCAGTATCAGTCTGTCTCTATCAATGTCTAGCTACCGCCTGTCTGTCTCTGTCTAATTATATCTATCTTGTTCTCTATTTGTCTGTCTCTCACTTAAAACAACTTTAAAATTAGCAGTAAATGAAAAAAAACCTGGATGCTGTGGTTGCCAGAATTTTACTGTTAAAATGGAATAGAAGCAGTTTTGAATTCACGGTAAACTGCTGTATTCATTAATTTCTACGCTGTTCGTGGGAATTCAAAATTGACCCAAAAACAAAGCATTACAATTGGCTAAGAAAATTTTGAAAAGTGGTTCGACCGGAGTCACAGAAATTTAAAAAATAAAATATTAATATACTTTTAACCATATAACTTTTTATTAGTATTGACGTCTATATTGTACCTTTATAATACACTGACAAAAGCACCACTAAACCAATGTGGTCATGAGACAATTAGCCAGTCCTCATCTGAATCTGCTTGTCTACAAGCAGAGAAACATATTAATATGTAAAACATGTGCAGTGTCATTCACACAATTTCTAAACACCACTGTGGTAACACAAATGCACTAAAGTATTGCAATACACATTATTTATCATAAGATGTAGCAAAAGTCAAATGTATGCATACACTATGTTTGTCTATTCTTCTTCTAAAACTATGTCTTCATCTGTCTTTATTTTTTAGTTATTCTTCAAGCATGTATGAATCCCAAATGCCCCACAGCTTTTTAATGGATATACGTTTCTAAGTGAACACCCTTGATAGACTCAATTTTATTTATTTATTTATTTTTTTATTAATTATTTTATCTTATTTTTTTGGTGCTTGTTCAAATTACCTATTTAAAATAAGCGGAAACAACACAATTCTTGAGATTTCTTAGGTTGGGACAATTATTTTTATGTTGAATCCACTTAAATTTGTTACGTTAACTTAATCGTGTGTTGTAACATGTGTTGAGACAACATGCATGAATTGTGTGCATTTTATTGAGTGTATCAACTAACTTGTGTAACCCTAACATCCATAATGAATTAACAAATGTAAAAATTCCAACATCCAAACCTTCAGAATCGTATTTGACAAAATGACTTTATAACAGGGTGA